CCTGGTAAAGATACAATTGGTCGGAGAGGTATGTCAGGCTTGTGTATTTTTGGTTGTCCATGGAAATGTGGGAGGATGGGTCCCCTGCTTTTCATCTGCCACTGTTCTTCTTTTGTGATATTACCTTTCTTGGTTAGTTTGTTAAGGGTTCTCTTGATCATGTTGTCTAGTTTCTGTATTGGGTTGGTGTTAACCGGGATGTAGTTTTCTTTGTCCTCTAATAATTTTTTGGCTTTCTGTAAGTATTGTGATAACTGTGGTTCAGCCTTTGTCTGCTGGGAGGATAATGATGGTTTGGTCCTTCTTTAGGCTTCTGAGGGCTGCTCTGTCCTCTGCTTTGAGTTTGTGCTGATTCTGTGTTCTTCTGATCTGTGATATGATTTTCTGCCTTATGTTTTCTTGGGTCTCTGTATTAAGTCCTGTGGTTTTAAATGCTGCTTCTAAGGCTGCACAGGATTCTAGCTGATTAGCATTGTCCATGCTATAGTTGAGGCCTTTTTGGAGGATATTGTGTTCTGCAGTGGATAGTGGTCGGCTGGACATAAATTAACTGTTAGGTACGCAGAGTCATGTGTCAAGTGTTCTGCTGTATACATTTAAATAATAAATTCTTTAAAAACCACTTCTGTCTGAAGCCTACCATCCCTAAGGCCTTACCATTAAAATATTATATTACATAATTCATCTTCCGTTAATATAATCTTTATAGTTATTAATATAGTGAGTTTAGTGCCATGAGGAGAATCTGTCAGTTTGCACTCTCAGCCCTCCTCTTAAAAACTGGCACTCCTAACTAACCTTTTTCCCAGGAAGATGCCAGCCAAGAGCACCCAAGGACTGCTTTTCCAATCCAGCAGTGTAGATCTCTTTGGGTACACTGCCATCTCTTATTTCTTCCTAAGCAAAACACAACATTCCTGGATGTTTTTACACTCAGGTTTGGAATTATGGTGGAAAACCTGATGGCTACATCTGATTAATTCTTAAGAGATTAATCCTCAATTAATAGTTTTAAAAGTGTACAAAAATATGATTTGAATGCATATAAAATCATTATACTTTGCAATAACTCTTAAACTGAGGTAATTAATTGTTTTATTGGAGAAAATTTAATCTTTCAGAGTTAGCAAAACTATCATGTTTTAAATTGACACCATTGCCTATACTTGGACAATATTTGGATAATATACTGAATGAATGACATAAGGAAGATGTGTGATTCCATCTATCAGAATGGTATATATAGTTCTTCCCTTAACCTCTGAGAAAAAGAGAGAGAGATCTTATAGTATGTCATGTCCCCATGTATAAGCTTTAACATGATTTCTACCTCCATCTTGTGTGTGAGGGGAAGGAATTTATTTATTTTCTCTAATTTTTGTATCACTACCCAGTGGTATTCCTGTGTAGTCTTTTCAGTTATACTGACTACCAGGAGGAAGAATGTGACCAGTTTCATTCACATTGGAAATCATTCTATGGGGTCCAAACCCTCTACCGGAAGTTGAACTCATGGACCACTGTGCTTTGGGTGACTATACATAGTGCATTAACTTTAGGAATTATCTAGGTACTGATATTCAACACTGTTGCAGAAAAAAATATACAGGGAGTCCTCAGGTTATAAGGTTAATTAGGACTGGAATTTCCGCCACTAAATGATGTGGTCATAAAGTTGCCATTGCCATCATTAACCAAATCCCACCTGGTTGTTAGGTGTGGACCCACCCCAATTCAAGCCATTCCCGGCTTGGTCCCTCCCAGCCCCAAGCCTTGGTAAGGTAAGGGACTGTCTCCTTTTCAACTCCCCCCACCCACCTATCTCCCTCCCCTTCTCTGTCCTTTTGGCTGCCTCTGCCAGCCATGACATCCTGCACTCCACTGGCCCTGCTACCCTGCCAGCCCTGTGCTCCACTGGCCCTTCCACCCCCAGCTGACCTTCACCGTCTTCTTCCCACTGACAAGGTATCCCCAGCTTGCCCTTTGCGAGGCAGCTGCTGGCCATGCCAGGCCTTCTCCCAAGGAAGTGTGTGGCCTTGTCCAAATTGTGCACAGCCTTCTTACAAGGCTTTCAAATCGCATGCAGCCCTTGTCCAATTTGAAAGCCTTGCGAGAAGGCTGCACACAATTTGGACAAAGGTGCATGCAATTTGGACATGGGTGTGCACAGCCTCAGGAAGTAGGCCTGGCATGGCCAGCAGCTACCTCGCGAAGGGCTAGGCTGGGCACACCTTGTCAGTAGTGGGAAGAAGACAGTGAAGGTCAGCTGGGGGTGGCAGGACCGGCAAAGGCGGCAGAGTACAGGGTGGCCTAAAGGGCAGAGATGGGAGGGGAGATAGGTGGGGGGGGGAGTTGAAGCATCCCGGAGGCGTGGTAAGTGCAGGCGGGCTGCCAAGTGCCTGAATTTTGATCGTGTGACCACAGGGGTGCTGCAACAGCCATAACTTCAGGGATTTCAGGGTGTAACTATCATACCACTGTAACTCTGAATGGTTGCTAAATGAGTGGTCTTTAAGTGAGGACTACCTGTATAGTATCTATCAGAATGGGATATGCAGACTACAGTGGTACCTCGAGTTATGAACGCCCCTCCTTACGAATTTTTCAAGATATGACCAGCTCCGGCCCCAAAAATTTACTTCTACTTGCGAACTCCGCCTCGAGTTACAAACCGGATCCGCGGCCATTTTCCCTGCTGCCACGCGGTCGCGGCTTCCTGTGGGTGAGATTACGGTAGGAAGGAGACGTTCCGTGAGGCTTGTGGTGTGTTTTGTGGCATTTGGAAGGTTTTTGTGGCGTTTGGAAGGTTTTTGAGGTTTAAAAATAAAATGCATATGTTTCAGAACTGTTTAGCCGTATTTACATTGAACCTTATGGGAAACTTTACCTCGAGTTGCAACTAACTCGAGTTGCGACCAGAGTCACGGAACGGATTAAGTTCGTAACTAGAGGTACCACTGTATATAAATCTGATGATTCCCCATAAGGATGAAGCCGATCACATTCTGCCTCCTGGTGGTCAATATAAATATTTGATTTCAAAGAGCCAAATGTCACCCTTTCCTCGTTCAGAAGTTAGGAGCTATACTGAAAATAATCCTCTCTGGAACACTAGAGTTAAGGTACCATATCCAATTGCATATCCTGGGAGCTGTAAATTAATGATGTTTTGACCCCAAATCCAGGCTTGAACAACTCTGGATAGTCCAGTGTTTTTCAAATTTGGAAACTTTTAAGATGTGTGGACTTCATGCTGGCTGGGGAATTCTGGGAGTTGAAGTCCACACACCTTAAAAGTTGCCAGGTTTGAAAAACACTGGAAAAGTCTAACTCAGCGTTCCCTATGAAAGCAACCATTATGGGCAAATGAAAACGGAAGCTGCTTATTAACCTGGTGCTTCCTTTCCTGCAAATGTCTCCCGGGTAATTTTAGGATACGTTCTCCACCCCCACGTATTCTCAATCAACAGAGGAGAAGAGACGAGGAAGGAGCCACTCCAAAAGTGAGTCGAGAAGCAGCAGAAACCCAAGCTCCGCCCGGCTACGCCGTGACGCTCAGGCGTAGTCCTCCAGCACCTGAAAATGGCCTTTCTGGGCAGTTTGCGCGGTCATTGTCAGTGGCCAAGCGGAAAAGGAGGAAACGCGGAAGTCCCGCCCTACCGGCCCCCAGCCATCTCCAAGGCTGGAAAGGGATCCTCCGCGGCAGAGCCTGAAGGTCTCGCGCGTCTCTCTAGAAATCATGGGCGGGGCTTGGTGAAGGTAACTGCAGGTGAGCTGGGCTTCGACGAGGGGCGGGACAATCTGGGTCTTCCTTCAGCAGAAGGAAGCTGAAGGAAAGGAGCGAGCCGGGTGGCGGCGGTGCTGCTGCTGCTGCGGTTCTAAGAGCGGAGCGGCCGCCGGGACGGTCCACGTCGTACCTACGAACTTCATTGTACTGTAAGCGTCTCTCGCAGGTGAGGGAAGGCCTCTGCCCCGTTCCCAGAAGTCGGGTAGGCGCCTGGCGTGGTTGCGACAGCCAATCCCCGCGCGCTCTGGTGCGCCTCTGGCTGTGCTCGCACGCTCACGCCGACCACCGGGGTCGAATTGCACCACAAAAATTACGCGTTGCCGATTTTGTATTCCGTCTCCAGGTGCCTTGACGAAGCTGTCGAGGGCCATTTCACTGTGCTGTGCGCGCGCGCCTTTGAGTCAGTATTGTCTCTTTGGCGATGGCTGGACAAGTCCCTGCAGTTTTCTTGGCAAGGTTTCGGAAATGGTTTGCCTTTGCCTTCTTTCTAGGGCTGAGAGAGAATGACTGGCTCAAGGTCACCCAGCTGGCTTTGTGCCTAAGGCAGGACAACAACTCAGTCTCCTGGTTTCTAGCCTGGTGGCTTAACCATTACATCAGACTGGCTCTCATGAACCACAGATTAGCTGACCATTTATTAGCCTTGTATATTGTGTGAACCCAGCCTGCGTGGTTAGTTTTTGTTTCAGTATATTGTGTAAGCCCAGAGAATGTGACCAATTTAGTAACCAAGATAGAGTTAAATAAGTGTGTTGTGTGAATACAGTTTTAAAAAAAAGTGGCTGAAAATTGTTCTAGAGGGAGTGAAGGTTGCTCCTTCCTTTCCCTCTTTGTTGTGAGAAAGGTGGTTGTGGGGATGCATGGAGGAAAAAATGTAAGAAAAGCTATAGGTCAGTGGTTCTCAAAGTGTCTGGGGAACCCTGGGGATCCCCAAGACCCTTTCAGGGGGACTGCGAAGTCAAATATTTTAAAATTTCTGTTTTAATTTCTAATTCAGTAAATATCGATAGATATAACCCACATAAACCAAAACTCTTTGGCTATAAGAATATAAAGGGGTCTTGAGACCAAAATGTTTGAGAACCACTGCTGTAAGTTATGGTGATATCATAGTCACAGAATAACATTTTATTTCTTTCCTTATTCATTTGTAATGCTGAAATTCTTGCCACTTTATGGATCTGGGTGAGAAGAAAAATTCACCAGAGTTCTTTTTATGTAAGAATGCATGCAAGAAATTTCAGCTTCTTAAGACTGTGATTATGACTATTTACATTTTTGTTTTCCTTTATTATAGGGTAGAATGGAGCTCCTTGAAGAAGACCTTACATGCCCCATTTGTTGTAGTTTGTTTGATGATCCACGAGCGTTACCTTGTTCACATAACTTCTGTAAGAAATGTTTGGAAGGGATATTAGAGGGAAATACTCGGAATGTGATTTGGAGACAATCTCTCTTCAAATGTCCCACATGTCGAAAGGAGACTACAGTAACAGGGGTTAATAACCTCCAAGTTAACTATTCCCTAAAAGGCATCGTGGAAAAATATAACAAGATTAAAGTATCAGCAAAAATGCCTGTCTGTAAAGTGCACAGTGGTCAGCCTCTTAATATTTTTTGCCAGACAGACACACAGCTGATATGTGGCATTTGTGCCACTAGAGGAGATCACATAAAACATCTCTTTTGCTCCATTGAAGATGCTTACTGTCAGGAAAAATGTGCTTTTGAGACACTCTTCCAAGTGTTTGAAGCATGGCACTGTGGAGATGCACTTTCTCGGCTAGACACTTTGGAAACCAGCAAACGGAAAGCTCTCCAGATGCTGACCAAGGATTATGACAGAGTAAAAGATTTTTTTGAGAAATTACAATATACATTGGAACAAAAGAAGAATGAGATCCTGTCAGACTTTGAAACCATGAAGCTTGCAGTTATGCAGGCATATGATCCAGAAATCAACAAACTGAACACTATCATACGAGAGCAACAAACTGCTTTTAATATTGCAGAAGCATTTAAGGATGTATCTGAACCCATTCTGTTTTTACAACAGATGCAAGAATTTCGAGAGAAAATCAAAGTGATAAAGGAAACTAGATTGCCTTGTGTTACTGTAGACATCAAATCTACAATTAAAGATGTTGATACTAGTCAGTGGGAACAACTTAAGCTAGCAGATGTGGATAAACTTTCACTACCTCAAGAGAAAAGCTCTTTCAACTGGGTGACTTCTTCCTTATTTTCACCAAGGTTTTTTGTAACTGCTTTATTTTGTTTGCTGATTGTTGTCACTCAAGTATGTGTTACAGATTTTCTAGGCAATACCTTACAGTATTGGAAAACTTTTGTTTCTGCATTTGGGTCAGGTTATCTGACTGACCCAACAGAGATGGCAGATCATGCTATTTTTTACTGGGAAAAAGTAGCAGATAGTGCTGCTATTCTAAGTGAAAAATGTGTAAATTATATCCATGTGTTGTTGAATAATGTTGCCCAATTTGTGTGCATGTATAAACTTTTATAAATGTTATTAATGTACAGGAAGTATATCTTCAAAGTGAGTGTTAGAATTTTTAAAAAATGGTAAATGTTTTTAATATTTGAAATAGTCTTGATAGCTGATATATTGAACTATTCTGCAACCTCGTGTTAAAAACTGACTACTTTTCTCTTGTTTTCTGAAAGTGAAACACTATGACTTAATTTTTTTAGAAAGTAATGTCCATAGTGGAAAATATAAACTTTTTTAATTTATAAAATATATTATGATTGAGTGAGTTTCAGACTGAAGTGTAAGTTGGGAAGATGTTTGCAAGGAGATATAATACATAAATAATGATTGTATATATAGTACTACAGATAGTCTCTGGGTTAAGAACGCCTGGCTTACAGACCTATCGTTAAGAACGGAGCTGATTATAGCAAAATTTGAGTTAAATACACAGTGGTTCAAGTTGATTACACAATACTACTTATACAGTATTATACAGTAATACTGTTCCAGCTTAGATAATTTGCCTTCCCAGCTGCCCACACATCATCTCACTCCCTCTCCCACCCAGCAGAACAGTCCTTGAGAACAGAACTCATTCTTAAACCAGGGACTACCTGTACTGCAAGTCGCAGTCCTTCAGAAATAATGCGAATTTTGTAATTTGTTATGAATATATGTGAACATAGGCAGTAACAAATATATAGTATTAGCTTTTGTATGTTTATAAGCCACTCAATACAAAATGAAACTATGGAGAGTCTTGGACTTGCAAATTAACCCAAGAAAATCACATATATTTTTTTTACAACAGTTACAGTAACATAAGTTGTATAGAACTATAAAGGGCCAAGTTTACAAGATGTTAGACAAGTTCATGCTGTTAGGTATGATCTTAAGGGAGTCAGATACGAGTCTTGCATGAATGAGGATAAAAAATTCACTTTTGGCATTATTTACATGATGGATGCATTAGGGTTACATTACAGGTAATCCTCACTTAACGACCCTAATTGGTACAAGCAACTCTGCCAGTAAGTGAGGTGGTCGCTAAGTGGGAATTCACATGACCGCGACTGCTTTTCAGCTGGAAAGACAAAACTACAGGTAGTCCTCAGTTAATGACCACACATTCAGCAACTTTTCAAAGTTACAATGGCGCTCAACAAGTGGGGGTTACAACCAGTCCTTGAAGTTCCAGCCATCCCAGCACCCCTGCAGTCATGTGATTGCAATCTGGGCACTCAGCAACTAGCTAGCACTTACGACAGTTGCAGTGTCCTACAGTCACATGATCAAAATTTGCAGCCTTCCCTGCTGGCTTCCCACAATGGGGAAGCCAGCAGGAAAGGTTGCAAGTTGCTCAGGTAAGTCTCCCCCATCTGTGCACCCTCCCCCAGCCCCTCTGCACTCATGCCCTGCCACCCACACACACTCCCCAAGCCTTGCACTTGGGCCACGCCTCTGGCCACCTGCACACCCTCCCTGAGCCTTGCTGTGCTCATGCCACACCCCCCTGGCCATTCATGCACTCCACCTAGCCGCAGCCACCCCAAGCCCTGCTGCACTTGTGCCATGCCTTCCCAGCTGCCCACACATCCTCTCACTCCCTTTCCCACCCAGCAGCAGCCACTTACCTGCCTTCTGGCCTGGTTCCAAGCCACCTGGGCTTGCAACTTCCTGCTGGCTTCCCCTCTGACTTTCCTTGTTGAAAGCTGGCAGGAAGTTATGCAGAGGTGCTCGCTTAATGACCCACAATCTTCAACTTAGCGATGGTCGCAGGGATTGCTATTGCTAAGCAATGTGGTCATGTGACATGCTTTACGAACATATTGCTTAGCGATGGGAATTCCAGTCCCAATTGCTGTTGTAACTCAAGGACTACCTGTACCCAGTTTCATACTTTTGGCTTTTGTTTGCCTCCTAACCACTCCCCCACCCTTTGGAATGCTCAAGTGCCTACTTACTGTCTTCTACACACCAAAAGCAACACGATTAGGCTGGCAGCCTGGAGGTGGGAGTTGCAAGCATGCTACAGAAGCAGCTTACAGTACTCCTGAAATCTCTTCCCCTCCAATTTCTCTGCTCTGTGGGGGAGGGGGGGGATGAGAGAAAACAAGCCATTTCTGTAGATAATCCCTCATTTGCCTGACCCCTTCCCACTGCTGGTCCAATTGCATTGCTCTCAATGTGTAGAAGAGGAAACAGCTTATTCTCTTGAAATCTTTCTCTCTGCAGGGGAGGGGGATACACAAAGCAAGTGATTTCTATAGCCAATCTCTCCTTTGTCTGACTCTCTCTCCCCCACCCCCAGAGTGGAGAGACTGGAGAGGAAGAGATTTCAAGAGAGTACTGTAAGTTGTTTGCATAGCGTGCCCATGGTTCCCAGTCCCGGGCTGCTGGCACAATCGCATTGCTTTTGATGTATAGAAGAGCAAACATTCTTCCAATTTCTTTCTTTCCAATCAATCTGCTCTGCAAGAAGGGAAAAAGAAAAAAAAACAGGTCAGGCACAGGACAAGGTGTACTGACTGTAAAGGCAATCATATGATTGAGAGACATTGCAATGGTCATAAATGGGCGGTAAAATTATTTTTTCAGCATTGTCATAACTTTGAACAGTTGCTGAATGGTTGGTAAGCGAGGACTACCTGCATACAATATGTAGAAAGGCTAATGATCATGCTTCACGGCAGGACTTCAGTGATAGGCAGCTAGAGATGGGATTTCTCTGATATTAGGGCCATATATCATTCAACATCATGGAAAAAGCAAAGCATATACATTTCAACAGGACTATGATTTCCTATTACTAATAGAAGAAATAAATTCCTAAGACCTGTACTGCATTGGATCCAGGGGATTTTACTTTCATTATAAAGGAGAAGGGTGATCTGCAAGGTACCTAAGTCTGATTATTTTAGAGGAGTAGGAAAAAAAAAAATCTAAAATATTCTCTCCAAAGTCAGCAGGCAGTAAAGTGTCAAATGTTTCAATGTGTGGTGAAATGGGAGGGAAACTTTTTTGCAGCCGGGGCTTGCATGTTTTAACATATTTTTGCTTTATAATGAACAAAGTGATACTGCTATGATGTAGCTGGAAAAAATAAGTACACAGTAAAATTTATAGGATTCCATATTAATGAAAAAAAGTAGATACACTAGAAATTAGTCCTTCGGTAAAACTGAATGGTAGTAAATAAAAGAAAGCGACTAGAAGTTTAAAAAAAAATCCCACAGGAAAACTATTTTTATATTTTTATCAAGGAAAATACATGTCCATGAAGTCAATTTCAATTTGAAGACAGCATTATTTTCGTGCTCTGCATTAAAGGCAAAGAAGGGCGTGGCACCTGTCTTTAGCTCCTTGAATTTAATATGGTTTTTTTTTACAGGATCACACTTCACCTATGGAGGGCAACCATGGACACTTAGGAAAAGATATGGTTGCTTTATTTTTTCACACAAGGCATAGGTAAAATATCACTAGTTCAAATATAGTGAAGTTCACCAACTGGGATGGAGGAGATACTGTTTAGAATGATGATATCAAGTGGGTGTTTTTGTGGAAAACTATCCCTGAATCATGTTCTTCCATTCAGTAGAAAGCCACCACTAGATACAGTCTTCTAAGATAAAAATGAATAATAATGGATATGAGGGTGATCTGGCTGTGACATCTGTCACTCCATTGATTAAGAATGTTACTATACTATGGCTGGGATAACATATCACTAGTTAAGTTTGTTTTAAACCCTTGCTTGTTGAATAAACAAAACTGGCTGGATTCATACAACTTTGTCAAGGTGGATGACTTCACACAAGTTAAGCCAAAATCTTATGATATGTGAATCCAGCCTATGAATTTAATATTTAAATACCATTTTTCTTGAAATAGTCTATGAGTTTATAACTAATGGAAGAATAATCTAAAGTTTGGACATTTGTCTATTTTAACTCCACCGCTACCATCATAGAATTTGGGGGCTTATATGATTGGAGAAGTTGGAATACTTAATGCTTCTTAGTTTTTCTCTAATTCTAGTATATGTGCTGAAATGAATTATAATATTCAATAAAGGAATTATTCTGAAATTATTTATTGCATTTACATTCCACTTTTCCTCCAAGGACAATTGTAAGAAAAATATGGTGTTAGTTAGACAAACAAATCCCCCTCTTCAAATTACCTTTCCTAGGGAAAATAAAACTCTCAGCTCAGCCATAAAACAATTAGAAAAATGTTGATTAAACTACAAAAGGAAAATGAGAGGCAAGAACAGCTCTGGGAAGCAAGACTGTTAGAAGAAATACTAATAAGAAAATAATGCATCAGAAAACAACCTTTATTGTAAAGAACAGCCCTTCTCAATACATAATATTCTTTGTACTGTAGTATCATTCTCATTACCTCACTGATCTTACTTTGCTATAAATACATGTGTTGCTATATCCAATCAAATATTTTACTGTTATTGAATCATATGTATATTCTAATTTCCATACCACTATATAGCATGTTGCATACCACCCTTTTTTAGGTATTGCTTTTGCTACCTCTGTTACTGTAATTTGTGCTTCAGTGGAAGAATGTGTACCGATCCCTGTTATAAACAAACTCTTGGGGGAAATTGTTGAGAGAAATCTCTCCTACATCATACAATATATTTGGCTTCCATAAATACACCTTTTAACAACAAGTAGATTACACTAATTGAGAGGCCTGAGCCTCTTTTAATGAGCTTTATGGTTGAGTGGGAATACAAACCTTAATCTCAACTGGACTTTAATGTCCTTAATCACGATAGTATATTGCTCCCTAAACTGTTTGTTTCTAGCTAGGGAATGGATTGTGCACAAATACAGAGCATGCATAGGGTTGAGTCTGTATGCGGTAGCACAATACTGTAGTCCAACTGTTGAAATACGCATTGCCAAATTATTAAATTTTTATATTTAATATTAAATTTATATTTTGGCAAGTCAATTTAAGATCAGAATTCAAGTTGAATCATGGAATTTAAATTGAATTTCCAAGTCAAATCTCTGCTTTAATGGATAACAAATAGCTTAGCAGGTTAAAGGAACAAAGATATGGTCTGTAGTATTGACCAGATAGCCTAAAATTCAAGCACTATTGCTATGTTACGAATTTCCAGTTCTGGTTTTAAAAGGCATGATCATTTGCTTTTATTTTAAGACCAGCATGATGCATAAAACTGGGATTCTGGCAGAGTAGCAAGAGTAAGAGGATTTGGATTTGGAAAGTAATCAAGAAAAGATCCAGAAATTCAGCAAATAGACACCCTTTTAAACCATCTCCACAGTCATGAGGCATCTGAACTGTGGGCAGAAGTATGAAAGTTTAAGATGCAATTTAAATTTTCAGTAGCTTTTTTTTGTAGTGCCTTCAAGTCAGTGTTGACTCCTGGCAACTGCCTAAACATGTCCTGCAGTTTTCTTGGCAAGATTTAGAAGTGCTGAATGTGCTTCCTAGGGCTGAGAAAGAGGGACTGGCCCAAGGTCGCCCAGCTGGCTTTGTGCCTAAGGCGGGACTACAACTTGTGGCCTCCCAGTTTCTAGTCTAGTGCATTAACCACTACACCAAACTGGCTACACCAAAATAACCAGCTTTATTTTTTTCAGGAGGGAATAAACATTGTAAACTGGCAAATCTCTAGTAGCTTCCTGAAATTCCAGTTGCAAGACTTCTGCTTTTAAAAAAATGGTTTAATTGCAAAGTCTCCAGGAGACCAATCCTGTAAATGATACAGTTGTGTACATATATTGTTCTTGTTGCTGGGCAATCCTATGCTTGTTCAGTTCTACTATAAAGATAAGCAGAAGCTGATTTTCTTTTTTTTTTTTGCATAAGCTTGTATATTATTGGGGTATATCTACTGGCAACTCAATTTTCTGGTGAAGAAGAGGATGAGTAATCAAGATATGATTGTTTTAAATGTGGGTGGACTTAAATTTACAACAAGGCCTTCTACGCTACAAAGGTTCCCTGAGTCAAGATTGGCAAGGATGTTGAATGGCAATGACCCCGAATTTAAGTTGATAAATGGCCAGTATTTTGTGGACCGTGATGGAGTTCTGTTCAGCTATATTTTGGATAGTTTAAGAACGCTCCAGCTTGCCCTGCCCAGTGAC